CCGGGGTCTGTCGGCCCCTGCCTGCTGCCGTGCCGAGCCCCGCTCTCCCAGCATCTCCCGGGCACGGAGCTGCTGCGCCCTGATCAGCCGCTGCCCTTGATCCGAGCTCTGCTTTGGCTAGTTGGGGATCAAAAGTGAAGCCAGCCCTACCTTAATCTTTCTGGTGGTGTTGGCGCTGTCAAACCCCGGCCTTGGCTACCACCGTGACGTGCCAGGGTGCTAGCGGCTCTGGGGGACGTTTTGTGAGGTGGTGTTTCTGCTATGGGACTCGCAAGCTGGGGAGCCCAGGTCCCTGGGTGGTGACTGGGCTGGTTTGTGGTCTAGGCTCTGTCTGCTGGGCTTTAAATACGATTCCAGTGAGGTTTTGGTTCTTTGAGTCATACAAAGCGTTTATACCAGAGCACAAAGTGACCTTTAAAAGGCCCCGGGTTCTACTTGTCTATCTGGATAAGGAGAGAAAGCAGAGCAAGCAGAGCAGGACTGGCGTGGTTACACACCACCCTGCTGCCGAGATGCTCCACGTTCAGAGCTGACGCCGCGCATTTCTCCCTCTGTCCCGCAGGCTAGCAGGAACAGCCTGGTAGGGTCCATCTCGGATAGACGCGGATGATGCCAGAGCTATGACAGGGATTGCAGTCTTGGCACTGAGGGGTGATCAATTATGGAACAACTACAGGAGGAAGTACCTGAGGTCAGGGAAGAGGAGGAGGAAAAGGAAGAGGCAGTGATGGTGGCAAGCGGACCCTCGGACCCAAGTGGAGGACCAGACAGCTCGCTGCCTTCGAGCAGCTACACAGGTGAGTGGAGCCGTGGGAACTCGTCTGTCCCTGGAGCATCCAGGCATCCACGTCCTGCGGGCAGTATGCTCAGCTGCGAAGGGCAGACCTGCCCGTGAATGGAGTTTGGCTTGTTTTAATCTCTTCCCTTTGTGAAATAACGCGTCAAAAGCGAAGTTACGGAGAGGCTTTTTTCTCCCTCTGCAGTCGCTGCACAGCCATTGGCAGCAGGTTAGGAGATGGAAGTTAAAAGGAAAGGGAGGTAATGTTGTGGCCCAGATGGGGAGGACTCTCAGGGTGCCTGAGAACGCTTCCCTGGCCGCTCTGTGAAGTCCTCAGTGCAAACTGATTGTAGGAGCTGGAAGAGAAGGTTTGTTGCTGCTGAAGAGGCTCCTCCAGAGCCCTGGGCATTCCAGCTGGGCAGCCCTGTGCCAGCCGCCTGCCAGCTGGGGATTATAAAATTTGCTGGTTGGGTTTCATTGCCTAGGCATGAATGCCAGAGGGAAGAAATCAGCATTGATGCGGAGTTCTCTCAGCTGCTGGGCACACTGGGGACACTCTTGGCTCTCTGTGCGTGGCATCTGCCTGCAGCCAGTGCCTGATCTCAGAGGTTAACTGCCCAGATGCGATGCCAGTGGCAGGCTGGGACAGTGCTGGAAATCCCTTGTCAGCCCCACGTCTGGAGGAGCTAGACGCAATGCTGGGCTTGCGGCTGCTACACGAAAGGACGTATCCCTCTGTGTGTTTGCAGACCTTTCGCAGAGCTCCTCTCCCTCCCTGTCGGACCAACTGCAGATGGGCTGTGAGGAGGCAGCCTTGGGAGCACTGAACGTGGAGTGCAGGGTCTGCGGAGACAAAGCCTCGGGGTTTCACTACGGTGTGCACGCCTGCGAGGGCTGCAAGGTACGTACGCCCTGGGGAGGGCTGGGTTCAGCAATGCCAAGCAGAGATTAGACCCCAGGGAGCACACCATCTCTTCAAACATGCAGGTTTGCAGCAAAGCAGGGATGCAGGACTGAGCAATTGTAAAGAAATCGTTTGCAGCCTGTCCAGAGAGTGTGGAGTGTAGAGGCAGGCACACAAATACTGTCCTGGAGGAGGCAGCTGAGATGCATATGGCCGAAATGTTGCCCCATCATGCTTTATTTTATAAAGCAAATCCATCTATCCCCACAGGGACCCTGGTTTTGCTTTCTGTGCTGCAGCTCAGCAGTGAGCTGTGTGTTTATCCCCGTGGGATCACTGTCTGCAGCTTGGATGCGCCTCTGAAATTCTTTTCCCCACAGCAGATGCCAGCAGGGCTGCTTTAGCAGCCCAGGTCCTGCCAGACATTCCTGCAGGCTGGGGCCGGCCCGCAGCTTGTTCCTCCATCCCTCCCTGCCGGCTGCCTGCAGTATCACACGCGCCGTGTCCGGCGCTGGACCATCGGCTGCCCTCCACGGTTCCTCCTCTGCAGGCCCCTTCTCCCACCGCACGACCTCTCCTTGCGATAGAGACTCTGCTTGTGTCAAAGAGAGCCAGGGCTCCTCCTCCTCCTCCCCACCCAGCTGAACCTCCGTGAGGCCCCTGGGGATAATAAACCAGCCTGGTCCCAAACCACAGGCGTTAACGCTGCTGTTCCCTTGTCCCCCTGCTCCGTGTCCCCCTCTGTGCCACCTGCCTGCAGGGTTTCTTCCGCCGGACGATCCGCATGAAGCTGGAGTACGAGAAGTGCGAGCGGAGCTGCAAGATTCAGAAGAAGAACAGGAACAAGTGTCAGTACTGCCGCTTCCAGAAATGCCTCTCACTGGGCATGTCGCATAACGGTGAGTGTCGCCGCTGTCCATGGGCCTGGCCGGCTGGGTGCCACGGGGCCATCTGCCCTTCAGTGAAGGCTTCGCACGGGGAGGCTGTATGTAGCTTGCTTTATCCTGTGGCTCCCTTCTTGCTAGGGGATCAGCTTTCAAACCCAATGCTTTGAGCCTTTGACTCTTCATCCCCTTCTTCTGTACAAGAAGGGGCTGTTCCTTCCCACCGTGCAGGCTGGCTGTTGGCACATGGCTGTCCCTTAGGGGTGACCCAGAGGGAACTGGACGCACAGATTGCTCTTCCGTGCTGGTATTTTTAAACTTCGGGTGTAACCATCTTGTTCCTGTCCAAGCAACGGTGTTTATGTGGGAAGCAGGGTTTGCGCGAGAGCCCAGAAGAGCAGGGATGGGAGCTCAGTGTGAGGTTGTGTTGGCGAGGGCAGCAGTAATGGCTGGTTGGTGAAGGTCTTGATGCCAGAGGAGCTGCAGGCGTTCACCAGCAGACCTCTGTCTGCAGTGCCAGAGCAGACTGCTGCCTTCCTGGACATGTCTCCTGGGGTCATCCCCAGTGTCCTGACCCGCTGGTTTTGCCCCCTCCGACAGCGATCCGCTTCGGCCGCATGCCGGAGGCAGAGAAGAGGAAGCTGGTGGCAGGGCTGACGGCAAGTGAGATCAGCTGCCAGAACCCGCAGGTGGCCGACCTGAAAGCTTTCTCCAAGCACATCTACAACGCCTACCTGAAAAACTTCAACATGACCAAAAAGAAGGCGAGAGGTATCTTGACCGGGAAGGCCAGCAGCACCCCAGTAAGTTTCCTCCCCGGGGCAGGTGGGGTTGGCCATGAAACAGCATGGGAGGCTGTTCTTGGGGAGATGCTGCCCATCTCCCTCCTGCTGTAGCTGTTCCACACGCACCAGTTCCCGGCTGCAGCTAGGTGGGCTCTACACGTCCTGCCCCTCGTTGGGAAAATTCCCATTGCTCTGCAGATTTTGTGCTGTGGTGGGTGGGCGCAGATTGCCCGGGCACTGACAGGCAGACAAATGTGAGTGTCCGTGGCAGAGCTGGTATCTCGAGTCCCCACAGCAGGTTCCTAACTGCTTCCTTCTTTATCAAGCAGCCTTTTGTGATCCACGACATGGATACCTTGTGGCAGGCAGAAAAGGGGCTGGTCTGGAAACAGCTGGTGAATGGCATTCCTCCCTACAAGGAGATCGGGGTGCACGTCTTCTACCGCTGCCAGTGCACCACGGTGGAGACTGTGCGGGAGCTCACGGAGTTCGCCAAGAGCATCCCCAGCTTCATAGGCCTCTACTTGAACGACCAAGTGACTCTGCTGAAGTACGGGGTGCACGAGGCCATCTTTGCCATGCTGGCCTCTATCATGAACAAGGATGGGCTGTTGGTGGCCAACGGGAATGGCTTCGTGACCCGCGAGTTCCTGCGTAGCCTGCGCAAGCCCTTCAACGAGATCATGGAGCCCAAATTCGAGTTTGCTGTGAAATTCAATGCGCTGGAGCTGGATGACAGTGACCTGTCTCTGTTTGTGGCTGCCATTATCCTGTGCGGAGGTGAGCGGGTGCTCTTGGCCCTCCGAGTCTCGGGAAGAGTCCTCCTGTACTTAGAGGTGGTTGGGGCTGGGCTGGGGGAGCTGAGCTGCAGCTGGCCCTGAGATCAGCCAGCGGTGTCTTAGCGGGGACAAGAGAAGAACTGAACTGTTCCAAAACCAAAGCTGCTCCGTGGCAGTGACGCCTAGTGAGCTTGGACCACAAACAAGGAGCGTAGAAGTGGCATCTCCTTCTCGTATGCTGCTGTGGGATATGTTGTCCAAGGGCGCATTTCTCCCCTTGTCTCGTTGACGAGGTTGGAGTCACGGTGGGTGGGTTACAGTCCCCGTCTCCCTTTCCTCAGGAGGAGCATGTGCTTTGGAGGGCTACACCATAACACTAGAGCTACCGCGCTTCCTCTCCACAGACCGTCCTGGCCTGATGAACGTGAAGCAGGTGGAGGAGATCCAAGACAACATCCTGCGAGCGCTGGAGTTTCACCTGCAGTCCAACCATCCGGATGCCCAGTACCTCTTCCCCAAGCTGCTGCAGAAGATGGCCGACCTGCGGCAGCTGGTGACGGAGCACGCCCAGCTGGTGCAGAAGATCAAGAAGACGGAGACAGAGACATCTCTGCACCCGCTTCTGCAGGAGATCTACAAGGACATGTACTAAGGAACTGTTATTTATGAGAGTGAAGCCATGGATTCCCATCAAGACTCTTTGTACAGAAACAAAGAAAACCTTTCCCCGTGTCTTCCATTTCTTCTACTGGAAACTCTTTTTCTACATAACCCTGACGTATGGTACATAGGGCAAGGTGCTGTAAGATTTTGCAGCCACCACCTGCTAGGCCAGGGCTTCCGTTAACACACACTAACAAATTTACAAAGGCAAATCATAAGCTACTGTTTCCGTTACTACGGCCCAGCTCTTCAGCTGCTCTCCGGGGCATCTGGAGCGGCCGGCCGGTTTACGTGGCCAGGACGGTGGGCTTCCCGCGGCAGCTTGGGAATGGTGGGGGATGCTCAGGTCATTAGGAGACCCAAGCACGGTGCGGGTATCCGGCGGGGCCAGCAACAGCACTTACGGCGTGTCTTTATTTTCTGTTTTTATATTGCACTCCGAGGACGTAGTCCTGAGCTGTGAAGTCTAGGACAGTGTCATGAAAGGATGTTTCTTTCCCAAAGAAAAGCCAGAGTATTTGAAGACGGGTAGGGCTGTCCTAGCAGAGACCCCCAGCTGCAGCCCTCCGTCACTGCGTGGCGTATTCCTGTCTCCCAGAGGGACTGGGTGATCTCTGCCTTCCCCTGAGTGCCCTGTGGGAGCCCTTGCTCCTGGTACCCCCATTTCAGAGGGAGCCTCCCCTCGGCACCTCAGTCTGAGAGAGGGAGGGATGGGGAGGTGGGAGGGAAAGGGTTTGACTCAGAAAAAGTCATCTTCGGAGCAGAGGCCAGAATCCGTTTGCTTCCCCAGGCTCTTCAGCGCAGACATGAGTTACCAAAAAGCTCTGTGCGGGGCCAGGGGCAGGCCTGGGACTGGTCGGGGTTTAGGTGGCAGGGCTTGCGGCTCGTCCTGCAGCTCCCTTCCCGCGGCCCGGGGGGCTCGGGGGGGTTTGCAGGGCGGCGCGGGCAGCAGACGCTTCCCCCGAGGAGGGACCCCGGTGGG